GAAGTCTGGGAAAGCTTTAACCACATGCTTTGTGTTAAAACTTTTCTTATAAGCAACTCCGTGCCCTGCCCCCCCTCCCCCAGCTCCCCAGTGACTTGATGGCTTTGGCTAGGGTTTGAAAGTTGGATCGGAGGGAATTGTAAACCCCCTCTCTCTCTCTCTCACACACACACACACATACACACACACCACCCAGGCCTGGAATTTGGGGCTGTGTGCAGGTGCCCTTCCTCCTTGTCCTCTGGTTTCCCTAGGCCTCCTGGTTTCCCCTGACCCCCTCAACTCCTGTTTCTTTTAAAATTTCCATCTCTTGAAGTTTCCATCCCCAACTGGGGCCCTGAGCTTAACCACCTACTAAGACCACCTGTGATAAACTGTCCCCAAATTGTTGGTGCCTGATTAGAGCAGTCTCCCTGGAACCACATGCATTGGGCAAAGGTGTCTTCTAGTCGAATGATCATTTGAATGCTCAGCCAGAACACAGTTGCCAGGAGCTCACCCTCTCCTTCCCCAGATTCCCCTGGTTGGCATAAGGTTCAATGGTTAGATGGTTACAACTTTGCAAAACAGGCTGTTACCTGTAGGTCTGACCATGCTGGCTGTTCAGAAGGCTACTTAGGGCTCCCACAATTCTGAAAGGTATAGATCTTTTCCCTTATCTTGTCACTTCCTTTTTAATCCACAATTGCTGTTACCTCTTTTTGCTTCTCCAGAATTAGTTTCAAAATCTAAATGCTTTTCTTGACTGTCCTGTTGTTTAGCTCCTGTTGGTTTATTGTTTAGATATAAACGTTCTTTCTAAAACACAGGAACAAGAAAAGTGCAAGTGTGTACCTGGTGCATCTAATACAACTCGCCCAATTAATTCAGAATGGCTTGGCACAAAGAAGGCTCCTGTCTGCTTCAGTTTTCATTTTCTCTAGGATGCTAATTGTTTTTCTTCTGATAATCTTGTATTTTTGGCCTGAAGTCTAAAATCTGGCCTGCTGGGCTATGTGTCAGATTTGTAAATTAGATGACATCTGTTTTGAATTTTATCATCTTTAATTTTCTTTCCAACTCTCTTCACTTATTCATTTCCCCTTTAATTATAAGGATCACACTTTGCTGGGTGATTTAGACAAAAGTGTAGACCTTTCTTCTTTGGGGGACACAGATTAAAATTACTGAAGCTAAGTGGTCACAATGAAGGCTATTTAGGAAAAAGATGTTGGGAGAGAAGCCTTAGCAACCATCCCAGAGAGGATGAGCAGCTAATATGAAAGGCTGGCTGTCCACACCAGTGTTTTGAGGTTCCCACTGAATAATTACAGTCGACTAGAAGGAGATTGACAGTGAATGTTGAACACTGGTAAAGTGAGTATTTTGAATTGAGAAAGGTTGAGGTAGTGGAGATGGTGGTGGTGGTGGTGGTGGTACATGAGGTGAGTGGTGGCATTTTTATTTCTTTACATTTAATTTCTCTCTGTGTGTTTTTTTTCCCCCAGAAAAATTGAAGGAGGAAAACTTAAATGCATTCTCGTACCTATAGATTCATACTTTAATAGTAAAATCTTTTTTTCCTCCTATGTATATATCTCCTAAATTCTTCTTTTCGTGGGGAAATTGTTTATTGCTAACTGGGTTGGACCTACTTATTAAGGATCAATTTTCTTGTTAGAATGCCCAAGGTAACACCCTTGTGTAACATGTTTTTCCTTTATGTAAATATTTTTCACATATTTACTCTTGCAGATGCCAACTGGCGTCTTGCAACTTTGCATTTGTAGAGGCAATAGAGAGCGTGTAGAACACTGGCCAGAACATGTGCCTAAACTTTCACATCTGATGCACATGTCGCTCATCACTGGAAGAAGAACTAAGCAGGCTGGCTCTGCACAGAATACAAAATGGCTCCCCCAAACACCTGCTGTAGAGGCTCGAAATCAAATTTCTAAAACCACATCATCATGAAAATTGGCCAAAAGTGACTTTGTGCTTGCATACAAATGACAAATCACCCCTTCATGGTGCTGGCCTTGGATTTCTTGGATACTGCTGTGTTTAGGCTGTTGCTAGGCAGGTCATGGGTCTGTAAAAATACTATTTTTGAATAGAATATGTATGTAGGGGTAGTTCTCACTGTAAGAGATTTATCTCTCAGGAGACATTTAGCAACGTCTGGATAAATTTTTGGTAGCCATAAGTGAGGGGGAAGACTGCTACCAGCATCTACTGGGTAGAGTCCAGATGCTGGCAAATATTCTATAAGGCACAGGACAGGCCCATAACCAAGGATTAACAGGCCTAATTTTCAATAGTACCAAAATTAGAAACTCTGGTTTGTAGGCATTTATATATTGAGCCAGCCAACAACAGATCAAAACTATGGTGTTGAGAGCAAAAGCGCACTTGCAAGCAGTCTTCTTTGGATGAATAGCTTTTGTTGACTTTGATGACCCTATTAGCCAGATAATATTCTCTGTATAGTGAACTGAGAGATCCTGCCATTTGGCCCCCCTGCTCCTCTTTTCATGGTTATTAGCATCATCTTCCATGAGTATGCAGTCATTCCAACTATGTATCTTTGGGTTTTATCCACAATCCTCCCCTTTTCTTCACCCTGCCTCCTGTTGGTAATCAGTTCCTCATAATTCTGTGCTCTCCTAATTATAATGATATTCCCTGACTTCTTAGTCTAAATACTACTGGTTTAGTTCAGGCCTCCCTCACAGTTGAAAGAGCCCGAAAAAAAAAAAAAAAGAAAGAGCCTGTTTATTAAGTTTCCAATACTACTATCCTGGTCACTGTCTTGCCATCCTGCTGCTCCAGCCAAATCCATTCAGTGTTCCACATCTTTAGCTGCTTCCTCATTTACCTGGTCCTTCAGTGAAGAAACATTTATCAAGTGCCTATCTGCTAATTACTCTGTTAGGAGCTGTGATCATTCCCTGGTTTAAAATATTTCTAAGCCTCCATATTGCTTAAGGGATGAACCCCTCACTTCCTGACACAGCACGTAAAAGCCTCTGATAATCTGCCTCTGACCTAACATTTCAGCTTACTCTCCCACCCTGCCCTGATGTACTTGCTCCAACCACAATGAACCAATCCCTTTTCCTTAGTTTGGGTCACACACTCTTAAGCTCCTATAACTTTGCACATGCTATTCTCTGTATTTGAAGTCTCCTTTCTACCCTTATCTGAAAAACTCTCATTCATTCTGTGCAACTTAATCTAGTACCTAGAGAAATGCCCGGCCATGAAGCTACTCAATAAATAGGGGGTGAACTTAAATTTCAATTTCTCTGTAAAACATTCTATAATCTCCTGGCTGTTAGTTAATACATCTCTCATGCTCCACAGCCCATTGTATGCACTTCTACCCAAATCCCTTCACATACCTGTGAATCCCTTGAGGGCAGGGATGGTGTCTTATGTCTCTTGGAACCTCCAGACTCTGTGCCAAACTGGACATAAAGTGGACCCTGATGATTCAATGCTCACTATTTTGTCAAGGTGGCTTCTTACGTTTTTGGAATCCTTGATTCACACTGGAAATGGTAGGCATCATTTGATATCCCAAAAACTCACAAAATTTGACAGTGGTCTCAAATGGGCCCTGACCCTTCTCTAGAACTGAATACACTCCAGTGCATAGTGTGAAGATAAGGTGTGAGTCCATCCTCTATCACCTAGTCACTATTTAACCTTGGGAAGACATTTAACTCACCTCTCACCTCAAAAATAGAAGTATTTTTTCTTTTGTAAAATAGGACTAAAGATACCTGCTTTTCTTACCTTGTGGGTGATCATGAGGATCAAATGAGACTACATTTTGGAAACTGTTTTTTAACTTCTAAGTGTTATAAAACTTTCCAAGTCCTTCCCTATTCAAAATATAGCAAAATAAAATACATCCCTTCCCTTAATCTTACATGATCTTTATTTTTTTCCACAATTTTTTTCACAAACTTTGGCCAGTTTGATGCATTGTATCCACTCTCTCCCTTCAAACCCAAGCATTCTGTTTTCTTTCCACCCATACCACTGGTGGTTCATTCACCACAATTTTCAATACTTATGGCTAATACCCATGGACACTCTTCTGTCCTTCTCTCACTGGACTTGACTTCAGCCTGCCTCTCCCTGAGACATTCTCTTCATTGGAATCAGAGTGAGTTTCCTGAAACATGGATTCTGATAATATCCTGCCATGTATAAAACCCCAGAATGATTCTTCATAGCCTACAGAGTAAAATTCAAACTCCTTAGGAAGGTGTCAAGCCCACCATCATGCTGTCCCTGCCGACCCCTTCATTGGCATTACCTAATGTTGCTCTCCTTCTAACACACACCCTACCCATACAAAATGACTTCTGTTTCTAGAAAGTGTTATGCTCTTTCACATGCTCCCCAAAAGACAGCCTGGTGCAATCTGGTCACCTTTTAGGACTTGGTTCAAAATATCATCTCTTCTGGGAAGCCTTCCCTGATCTAAGCTTCCTATTTCTCTTCATACCTTGCAGAAGTAGATATACCTATCTACTTCTATATCTATACCTATCTGTGTGTCCCCAGACTCCTTGGCCACATCTTGATTAAGCATGACCTTCCCATTATTCTCTAGTTACCCACTTAAATATTTATTTCCTCTACTAGACAATGAGCTCTTTGGGAACAGGAATATGTTTTATCTCTCTCTATATGTCTAGCTTCTAGAAGAATTCCTGGGAAGAGTAAGCAATTGCTAAATGCTTCTTGACTGAGTGATATAAGCATTATTTGTATTCATTCTTATTCCTTTGCTACATTTTGTGCACTTTTTAGAAATTTTTTTGTTACATTCTGGTTTTCACAGATTTAGAAAAAATTCTGGCAAATGCCATTATTCGTTCAAAAGTTGCTCTGCATTGAGACAGTGGGTTTGGTTTTCTTTGGGAAGTTGAGTGCCTACTGTCTGTGCTACACCTCCATGGGTTTATGACATATCCCTGAGGTACACAGGAACTCCTGCTCACCTGCTGCTTCTGGCCTTGGCAGTTTCCAGTTGTTGGGTAAGGAGCTTGGCAATGGTGGTGAAGCTGTTGCTCATGCGGAAAATATCTCTGCTCTGAGGGCCCAGGATGGAGGAGAAAGCGTCAGTGATGCTCTTAATCTCCAGCAGGAGAATATGATGAAATGAATGTTCCATGTTGGCCAACTGACTCACCAGGAATGGCAGGCAGCTCCTGGCTCTCTCCTGCCAAGAACAATGAAGGACAGTGTGCACTGTTGGTGGGAACATAAACTGGTATATCCATAATGGAAAACAGTATGGAGGTTCCTCAAGAAATGAAAAAATATAACTACCATATGGCCAGCAATCCCACTTCTAGGTATTTATCCAAAGGAAACAAAATCATTATCCCAAAGGGATTTCTATACTCCCATGTTCATAGTAGAATTATTCATAATAGCCAGGACATGGAAACCACCAATGTGTCCATAAAAGGATCAATGGACAAAGAAAATGTGGTTTATATACACAATGGAATACTATTCATCCATAATCATGTCATTAAAAAAGAAGGAAATCCTGCCATTTGCAACAACTTGGATGAACCTGGAGGGCATTATGCTAAGTAAAATAAGCCACACAGAAAAAGACAAATACCGTGTGGTATCATCTATATGTGGAAACAAACAAACAAACAAAAAGTTAAAGTTGAACTCATAGAAACAGGGACTGAAGGGATTGGGGTGGGTGGGAGAAATACGGAGAAGTTGTTCAAAGGGTGCAAGCTTACTTTTAGCTATAAGTTGAAAAAGGTCATGTATAACATGGTGACTATAGCTGATAACACTGTATTGTATAATTGAAATTTGCTAAGAGAGTAGAACTTAAATGTTCTCATTTACCATCCCCCCCCGCCCCAAAAGGTAAATATGTATGGTGATAGATGCATTAATTAACTCAATGTGGGGGAATCATCTCATAATGAATATGTATATTAAATCATCACATTGCACTTTTTAAATATCTTACAATTGTACCAGTCAATTATACATCAATTAAGGCTGGAGGGGAACAAAAGAACAATGAAAAACAAAAATCTGTATTTTAAAAGAAAAACAAAGTCCCCTGATCAGCAGATGACATTTCTATGGGGAGCTGAGAGAGCTAGCTAAAGCTAAATAATGTCTCATTCACAGTGCCTCTGAATTGGCTTCTTTGAGATTTTAACTTTTTTCCTGATTTTCAGGACAAACTTTTTTTTTTTAAAGATTTTATTTATTTATTTGAGACAGAGAGAATGAGAGACAGAGAGCATGAGAGGGAGGAGGGTCAGAGGGAGAAGCAGACTCCCTGCCGAGCAGGGAGCCCGATGCAGGACTCGATCCCAGGACTCCAGGATCATGACCTGAGCCGAAGGCAGTCGCTTAACCAACTGAGCCACCCAGGCGCCCTGGGACAAACTTTTTTAAAATTAAAACTTTCCCCTCTTTATTCCTTTCTTAAAAATACATCAGTAGTCTCATTTGCCTATCTTGTCAGATCAAAACCTCTTGAATACCATTGAAGATCTCACCCCACGCATCTACTCTTCCCAGCTTTGTGTCTTCAGGCCAGTCTCCATGTCTGTGACTCAATAACTCTGCCGGCAAGGGGGAGGTTGGTCAGTGGCACCCTTAATCCATCCTTCTGTCAGACGGTGCCATGGTGTGCAAGGTTTACCTCCTCTCCACAGGGTATTCTCACTCATTTGTTCATTTTAAACATCTTTCAACATATTATGGATTCTATGTGCCTGGTCAAGTGAGCAGATCATATTATCTACCTTTAATCAAGTTAATGTTCATGAATGAGTTAAATTGGTTCCTTCAGAGAAACGGAAGATGAAAGACAATATGATTAATGCAGGCATGAGTGAGTAACAAGCAAACGTCTTAGCCGATAGGTCTATCTATCTCTTCATGAACCATAAGGCACCATGATTAATCCAACATGACTGGAAGTTAACCAAAAAATTCAAAATTATCAAAGCACAGATGAACCGTAGATTTGTACCCAATATAAATGATGATATACAATTCATAAAGATAATTTTAAATATGGTTTATTTCATCTTTAATTCCCCCTTTAAAATCCTATTTTTTAAATGTATTAAAAAACTGTCATTATGTTAATGTAGTAGAATATATATATAATTTTAAATAAATATATGCCAGAAGTTGATGTTCAAAATCCTTTTGACTGATAGGTGTATAGTTCTAAATTACTTTTCTATCTAGATATTCCCTTCTACCTTTTATTCTAGCACTTGAAGCCTTAATTTCTTTCTAGACGTAACTCCTACCCTATCTCCTCCATGAAGCCATTCTTAGTGACCTTTTCTGTCTGAATTTTCACTGTGTTATAGACTTTTAAAAAATCTCATTAGTACTTTGCATTTGATTATTGTATATTCATGCTTTAATTTAATCACCAGGTAGGTATTGCATGCCTAAAATATGCTTGTGCTAGATTCTAGATGACAAAGGTGAATAAGAGGTGGACTCTGCCTTGGAGGGACTTGCAATTCCCTCTTCCATTTATAATTCACTAATGGTTATATATACCAGTCAGGTCTCCTAAAGGGGCTATTTCTCAACATCAATCATCAGCCTGGCACAGAATTGAGCCTGTAGCGTCTACACACAGTGTATAAGTCTTGATTCACTCATTTAAGCAAAACTTATATGCCAAAATATGACTTTACAAATAAAATATGTATTTGCAAAGGAATTTTGTGCTTTACAAGAAATACCTATTACAGAACAGATTTAAGTAGTGAAGGTCCCTAGTCTTTAATACTTAATTAGGTTTTCGAAGATTGCATGTACAATTGCACTGGAACATATCTCTTGGGGATGTGTAGTACAGCTGCCAATCAATCCCTTAATAATTATTTCTTAAGAACCACTAAGTCACAGTGCTCCGTCTGGGTATATGGGAAGAGGCTCACACTTCATGAGCAGGACATCTAATGAAGAGACACTTATTCATTAAAGGAAAAGAATATTAGATGACTAAAAAGTAGAGACCATTGGAACAATTTCCTGACAGCCCATTTTATACTTCGGCTCCTATAATTGCCAGGTTGCAGAATGACAGTTAAATGCTCTTGAGTCTAATAGGTTATTTTGCAAAACAGATATTTTCATTCATGCAAGGTCTCCATATGTGAATTCACAGTATGCAATGTATCACAGGGACATTTTCCATCTCCCATTTAAAGGCAAAAGCTGAATGTGGGGGTCCCTACCATGTTCCAGGCTCGGTTTCAGGAGCTAGGAGCACATTACTGAAGGAAAAGGATACAAACCCCTGCCATCACAATAAGGCAAACAGACAATCAACAAAATACTTATGTAAAATATATCATGTGTTAGACGAAGAAATATGCCTCAAAGAAAAATGAAACAGGATGGGGAGTCGCAGGGAGGGGAGTCAAGGTTAAATAGTGTAGGGCGGTCAGATCTCACAGAGAAGGTGACATTTGGATTTAACTGGGTTTTAGAATCTAAACCCAACATTCTCAGTAGCCACAGAAAACAACTACAGTAAAACTTGTCCTGTTTGATACAGGGAGGCTAGGAAGATATGAGAACTTGGGAGATGGGGCACTTTACTACTGAGAACGTAATTTCAAATTTCAAGCAACTTCCTTCCTCACCTTCAGAATCAGATTCTTCTTCAGCATTTTTTAAAGCTATGCCACAAACATTTCATTTGCTTATCCAAGAAGTGTTCCTATGGTTATTAAGGATTCCTCTCAGTATAAAAATTAGCAAGCCCTTTCTTTATTTTTTTGAATATTTTATTTATTTATTTGTCAGAGAGAGAGAAAGAGCATAAGTGGCGGCGGGGGTGGGGGGGTGGGGGGAGTGGCAGGCAGGGGGAGAAGCAGACTCCCGACTGAGAAAGGAGTCTAACACAGGCTCAATCCCAGGACCCTGGGATCATGACCAGAGCCAAAGGCAGATGCTTAACAACCGAGCCACCCAGGTGTCCCTAGCAAGCCCTTTCTTTAAAGCATGTGTCTTCCTAAAGGTGAAAGGGACTGTGTGGGGTATTTGCTGAGACCAACATAATTCTGGATGATCTTCTGGCAGCCAAAGTGAGCTGAAGGGAAAATTAATCACAGTGTGGGAACAAGAAAAATTATAACTGCTCTGGAACTAACATATGAAACCAAGCCAACCTCACATCGTTTGTTTTGAAACCTTGGAGAAAGTCCATGTACCTTACAGGGGTAACAGATGTGATTTGGGATTAGAAAGTGTGGTGTTAGGGTAGGAAGGGGGTTAAGAGAGTCTGATTTCTTTCTCAGCTCCATGATATTTTATCTCTGGAGAGCCAGTGACTTCATTTTTTCTGCTTTCAGTCATTCCGCTGGGGGTAAGGTCAGCAGCACCTCTATGCCTTAATTGCAGGCCTGACCTCATCCCTTCTGACAAACTATTTATTATAAAAATAATAATAGCTGACCCACAGGGTATACTTAATCTAAGTGCCAAGCCTATTTGGCACACATTTCATGTGTTTATTCATGAAATCCTCCCAATAATACTCTGAGGTGAGTACTGTGATCACTGCCATTTTATAAGGAGGAAACTGAGGCACAAACAGAAGACTAACTTGCTCAAGGTCACATATGCCTTCTCTGTCTCTAAAAGCTGTGTACTTACTGGTGATACACGCAGCCCCTCCCGTCAAAAAACACCAACCCACCCACACACTTATTTTTCTACTTTTTGTTTCTACATCCTTTTCATCATCAGTTATGGGGTCCTTTTCCTTTCGTTATTTTTGATTTAGTGATAGAGACATCAAAAATGCACTGTGAATACAAAATAGAGCAGCAGATCTCAAAGTTTTTGGTCTCTGAACCTCCTACCCTGTTAAAAATTATAGGAGAACCCAACGAATTTTTGTTTATCTGAGTTTTATCTATTCCTATGTGCCCTCTATTGTCACATATATTAAGTTAAAACTGAGAAATTAAAAAAAAACAAACACATCTGGTGGCACTTTGGGTTGTCACAGCTGAGGAATGGGAGGAAAGACTGGTAGTCCGTAGTGGGTGGAGGTGGGAGATGCTGATAAACATCCTACATCGCACAGGACAGCCCCCCACCGCCGAGAATTATCTGGCTCAAAATGTCAAGAGTGCCAAAGCTTAGAAACCCTGAGTTAAGTGAAACCGGCTTTTTGTT